CCAATTGTTCAACTGGACTACTCTATTGGAACGAGTGCTCACGGTGGACCAGCTGCAAAGAAGGGGACTGGCCATCCTCACAGATGTGTGATATGCCTGTCGGATGAAGAAAGCAGTGCCCACCTCTTTATCCTTTGCCCTTTAGCCCAAGAATCTGTCGGTTGCTATCCTTTGGCTATTCAATTGGCAGTGGGTTATGCCCCAGTCAATTGCCTCTCTATTTCAATCCCTTTATCCCTTCCCTTGGCCCAAATCTGGGATCATCTTATGGAAGGCCATGGGTGCGTCGACTCTCTTGGTCATTTGGACTTAGAGAAACAATAGAATCTTCCAAGGGGAAAGACTATCAACAATAGAATCTTCCAAGGGGAAAGACTATCGCTGAGATATCTATTTGACATGATTAAATCTTTGGTGAATTTTTGGCCAGTCAATCACAAAAGGTCCAAGGGATACTCCTAATCGACTTTTCTCCAAGACTGGCAGGCAATGCTCTATTCCACACCACCCCGGGTCCCTCGTCCTTGCTTATGGAGAACCCCAAACCTGGGACAAAGCAAATTAAATTTTGTCGGTTGCTCCCTTGGCAATCCTGGTACTGCAGGCATTGGGGGAATTTTTAGAGACCATGGAGGTCACTCCCTCCTCTCTTTTTCAAAGAGCGGAGGCCCTAGCTGTGCTCGAGGGTCTCAGGTTGTTCAATACACAGTGGGGTTCATCCTTAATTTATTGAGGGTGATTCCAAGAACGTGACCCGTTAGGCCTCGGCTGCATCGCCCTGTCCCAGGTCGCTTATCAATATTTTTGACGAAATTGCGCATATTTGCAGGGATATGGTTGTCTCATGGAGGCATATCTGGTATGAGGCCAACTCATAGGCTGACATCCTTGCTAAAGAAGGAGCTTCTAGCGGTTTATTTTGACTCCTAGCACAAGGGATTTTTTTGCATCTTGTGTCACCTTAATCTCCTTGGCCTTTTTGGTACAGGGACACCGAGTTGTGGGTAACCTTTATACTTTTTGTACAGCTCCTGCTCTGTGGGTAGCCGGTTTTTTGTAAAGAGCTCCCTACTTGTGAGAAAGCCTTTTTTTTGGATTCTTGTTAGTATCTTTACCTTTAATAGAATTCAACAGTTAACAGTTCCAAAAAAGATATAACGGCTGAGGAGTTAGTGTTACAATGTCAAACAAAAAATGTAGAAGGGAATTTACATGGGGTTTATGTTTAGGTTCCATTGTTCTTTCTGGAGTAATCATGAACCTAGAAATCAAAGTTTCAGTATCAAATCTGGAACAAAGGGAATCATAATATTTAGCAATAATAAAGAAAAATAGAATACATAAATACCTCTACTGTAGAATCTCCATTTAAGTTAACATAAAATTAGATATACTGTTTGCCCTGGGGTTTGGGGGGTTGAAGATCTGAGCTCAGTTTTTTACTCTTGTCACTTCTGTGAATTTGGACACTTGAAACATTAATTGGAGCGAACCAATGAATTCTTTATTTTTTGGTGTCACTTGACAGTCTTCTGCTGAAGTGTTATATTTGCTGTCCTTTTGTACAGGTTAAGGAATTCTCTGCTCACACAGCTACAGTAAATGACCTAAGCTTTGATATGGAAGGTGAATATGTTGGAAGCTGTTCAGATGATGGCTATGTTGTTGTAAGCAGCCTTTTCACTGATGAAAGACTGAAGTTTGAGTATCATCGACCTGTTAAGGCCATTGCTCTTGATCCTGACTACACGAGAAAATCTTCACGGAGATTTGTAGCAGGTGGCTTAGCAGGTCAGCTAATTCTCAACTCGAAGAAATGGCTGGGCTATCGTGACCAGGTTTGTCTCCCAGTTGACTTAGTTATCGGTGAATCATGACAATCAGATGACCTTCTTAAACACACGTCTCTTACAGGTTTTACACTCTGGTGAGGGTCCTATACATACAGTGAAGTGGAGGACAACTCTTATCGCTTGGGCTAATGATGCGGGTGTGAAGGTTTTTGACATGGAAAATGATCAACGAATTACTTTTATAGAGAGGCCACAAGGCAGCCCACGCCCTGAGCTCTTACTTCCTCATTTGGTGTGGCAGGTCAGTGAGTAAAGATACGTATTATACTTTGGACTTTCTACTGCATGCTGATCCTCTTCTTCATCTAATAAATCAGGATGACACCCTCTTGGTTATTGGCTGGGGAACATGTGTAAAAATTGCTGCTATCAGAACGAAGGCATATGGAGCGCCTAATGGAATGCCAAAGCAAGATTTACATTTGCCATGTTCAAGGCATGTGGATATTGTTGCTTCTTTCCAGACCAGCTATTTTATTTCAGGAATTGCACCTTATGGTGATGCCTTGGTTATTCTAGCTTATATTCCCGCAGAAGAGGGTTCGGAGAAAGAGGTTAGCAGTACTGTACCTTCTCGCCAGGTAACTTCATGTTCTTTTGATAGACATGTTATTGGTCAATTTATTAGTGGGCGCAACAATTTTATTTTCATTTTGTCGGAACTCAGTAAGAATTTTCTCCTTTGTCACTTCTCTCCATAAAGAGTCAATAGGTTGCTGGGGATGTGAAACATATCACGCTTTGACTTGTAGATGAGCAGGAAAGGAGCTTTGATTTTCTTCATATCAATGGATTTTGATGGCATGACTAGGCTTTGTTTGCTTGCAGAGTCCATTCCCCATCCATACACTGCTGGAGCAGCCCTTGTTTGTGAAAAAAGTAAATTACAAAAGAAAAGACCTCAAAGTCGAGGTCTTTTCTTTTGCATTGTAAAAATATGGGCTGGGGGCAGCATTTTCAAATTCCAGCCTATTTAGAGATTGCTGGCAAATGGTGCTGTGTTGATCCCCAACACTTCTTTAAATCACAGGGCTATTGCACTTATACTCTTCCTAGATACAGCCTTAATGTTTGAAGTCATTTACTATTACTATTAAGACAGTTATACTTCACAATGACTGTTGACAGCTGTGACACAAGTTATTTATACCAAATTTCTTTTGGCTCTTTCAGAGGCTATGTGTAATTATAGTTCAGTCACTGGTATTACAGTATTGGGAATTATACAATTGACTAGTGTTTAATTTAACTTATTTGACGGTTTCAAAGTTGGTTGATCCCTATTATGAATGAACACAAAATATTAATTAATTTTAAATATTTGAGACGAATGTCAAGGACTTGTTTAGAAATCCTGCACAAGTGAAAATTAGAAAAATTGGTGGCCAGTTGTTATCAAGGTACCAATTTTGTTGTTGATGTTGTCTTATCTGCACAGTGTAAGCTTGGTTATTGATGGTGTACTTATACTGGTTTAAGGATTTTGCTTGAGCATGTCATTCAACAAATGTTCATTTATTACTTCTTTGTTAATCATCAAAAGCAAAAAAAATTAGAAATTAAAGATTTGGAAGAATATGAAAATGATTGTGTGATTGTTATTCCAAAAAAAAAAAAAACAAAATGGATTTTAGTGATTGTTAACAGGAAGATGTATATTTCATTAACATTTTGAGGATGGAGTAACATTGCTTCCCAGTAACGTAGAATCTGATGTTTATTTCTAAATTATTAACCATTAAATTTTGTGTTCAGAGTGATCCCATGGTGATCTCAACAGTGAAAAAAAAAGAAAAAACGGGAGAGATTATGATTGAAAAGAACATACAAATCTGTTGACGATGGTAAATGATTCCCAATATAAAATGCCTGAAAGACAACATAAACACAAAAAGCTCTGAGATGGTTCAAAAACCTCTATTTACTTTCTTTCAGTTCTCTTCCACCACGTGATTTTTTTCTTTACTTCCTTCCCTAATGAACTTCTTCTCTGTTGTTCTCCTATGCCAAACTGAATACCTGAAGATTTTCTTTTCATCCTCTTTTAGTGTTCCATGGAGATCTTCACTAGGTTAGTGCACGTGGTAAACTAGCATTAAAGTTATGGTCATCTTTATTACTCTTGGTTTGTTTTGCCTTGAAAGCACAATATTATATTTTCTCAAAGAATCTTAGTCCCTTGATTGTTATTTGGTGTTTTTAATAGCTTTTATGGACCTGAAATGGTTATTTGGCTCTTATATGCATTGTGGTTGGATTCATGTAGCCAACCCCAAATCATTGGGATGAGTCTTGGATGATGATGATGATGTTGATGCATTGTGATTGGATGTCATCTGCATCCTGGGACACCCAGGTCCACTGGGACTGCCATCCACTCATTAATATTTAAAAATGAGAGCTTTGAGGAGGTTCTATTGCTGAGAGTATGTTCGCCATACAAGTTTGTGGTTTGACTGTAAATTAAATCTGTATATTTCTGATTAGGGTACTGCACAACGGCCTGAAGTAAGGATAGTCACATGGAAGAATGACGAACTTGCAACTGATGCTCTTTCTATTCATGGTTTTGAGCATTATAAAGCAAATGATTATGCCCTTGCCCATGCTCCTTTCACAGGTAATGGATCTTTAAAAATTTGAATTACTAATGTCATTTTGTGGACATACAAGCTTTCTGTTACTCTTTTGTTGATAGTTCTCTAATAATTATTATGATGTAGTGGTAGTTTGTTTACATTTTGGGTGATTGTAGGAAGCAGTTATGCCGGGGGCCAGTGGGCTGCTGGGGATGAACCTTTGTACTACATAGTATCCCCAAAGGATGTTGTTATTGCGAAGACCAGGTATATGACTAAAAGAAACATAAAGATAATGCTGCTGATATCATGATTTGTGCCTTTTGGTTGCGTTTCAAATGAACTGTAGAGGGGTCTTGATTTCTCTCTCTGATATTTTTCTTTACAAGTATGGTCACGCCTTCATTCCTTTATTCAAGTGAGTTTATTGTTAGCTAATTCACATGTTATGGCCTTTAGGTAGACTAATTTATTTATTTCTTTGTGGAGCTTATGACTTGAACAGTAATCTTCGTAGTGGAGATGAAACACTCCATATACCAGGCTAGCGTGATTGATCCCGTACTGTATTGTTAACTCTTGCTTTGTTCGGTCCTGCATAAGTTCCACTTCATTATATTATTTTATTCTATTTTTTGAGAAGTTTTACATTCATTATATTATGTTATTCTATTTTTTTGAGTCTTAAGTGATTGTCGTATACCAATGAAACTGAAGGAAAGTTGGGCGGTCAAGAAACAACATATTTATAGAAGTATAGTTGAGACGAGGATGTTGAGATGAATGAGTGTCAGAAGGATAGAATTCTGAATGAATACATCCAAGGGAACTTAGGGGTGGCTCCACTGGCGATAAGGTGCGGGAAAGTAGACTTAGGTGGTCTGGCCATGTGCAGCGTCGACCTAGAACTACACGGGTTAGGAGGGGCGATTTGGCTTAACTGGAAGGCTTTAAAAGGGCAAGAGGAATGCCCAAAAGGACATGGATTGAAGCAGTGAGAAGAGGTATGTTGACTAATGGCCCGACTAAGGGTATGGCCCTTGATAGAGCAGAAGTGGGCCGACCCCAAATAGTTGGGTTAAGGCTCGGATGATAATGATATTATTTTAGTTTATTTTGGTAAGTGCTTCCCATGACGGCGGAGGAACCAAATGGACCTGCAAGGGGCTAAAAGGTGCTGGTTGTTAACCTAGTTTTGTATTGGTCATTTAAAACCATGTCATTCAATTGGGCAAGAACGATCATTACTAATGTTTAGGAACTTGTCTCGGGCTTGGGATTGGGTTCTTGCCTTAGCTAAATTACTCGGTCGAGTCCAAGTGGACTCACGCGAGTCTTGCGTGAGCTCGAAAATGGCCTTAAGAAAAGCAAAAAAAAAAAAGGAAGAAAAAAGAGAGAAAAACCCCCCCAAGAAAGTTAAAAACCAGGGGGGTGTGTGTGTGTGTGTGTGGTTGGGGGGAGTGATCCTTTTTAAAATTACATGAGTTCCCGGGTTGTATAACATGCACCCCCATACCCCCCAACCAAAAAAAAAAAAAAAAAAGAACCTGGATTGCAGGAAGACACCTAGATGCATACATGATTATGTTTGTAGGTACACGTGCTTACATGCTATTGTTATTTGCTAAGGATGAGAGGCACAGATTGTAGGTAGTCTAATGCATACTTGAAGATGCAACTCAATCGTAAAATCATGTGTGGATGTATATATCTTCACTGCTAAATGTGCATTAATTTGTTACAGCTTTCACTTTTGAGGCAGTAATTGTGGGAGAAAATGTATTTTCTCATAGTCAGAATCTTGTAAGAGTGCACCTCTTGTTGTAAGCTGCCCAAGGTGCGACTCCCTGGTTATATATCATGTTGACAAATATGGGGGTGAGATGAGATGTATATGAGGCTAAGTTGCAAGCCTTTGACCTGCTATGGAAGAGAATCTCAAGGTGCAGCTTTGAGCTGTGATTTCTTTAAGAGGCAAATAATGGTGATGTGTTGTGCATGTTACCTTAGTTGACGTGGTCCACTTTACATGAGACCATTTTGTTGGGCAGTTTTTGGTCCCTAAAGCTCCTATACTGAATCCACTTGAATGATTTGGATGAAACTTTGTTTCCCGCAATTTTGGGCTATAATCGTTGAGTGAATAGTCAAATTTCATTGTTATTATGTTGCGATGTTCTCTTTCTCGGTTTTAGGTGTTGGGTAAAACTCCAAACTGTAGTTTTCATTTTGAGCTCTTTACATGCTATGACCAAAAATTATGGGCTTACGCTTCTACAAGTTGTTCATTACAATAAGACCAGATGAGATTCGGTAGCAGTTCCCCATGTGACAGAGAATGAAGCACTGGGCGGTCATAGAAGAAGCAAGGGAAGTAGTTGATAGAGCGACTAATGGAAAGGTGGTTTGCTGAAACTCACAGCCCCATGCTAGGATAGATGGTGAGACAAACTTTCCTAAACTTGAAAAAAATGGCCAAATGAGGAGGCAGAGGTTAAAAGAGGCATGGCCCTTTCAGAAGACAGGCTCCTTTACAAAGATTGTTTGATGGCTGGCCTCCCCTTCTCCATAAACCATGTTCTTATACTAGGATGAGGAATGATGCTGCACTTGTAAACCATGTTCTTATACTAGGATGAGGAATGATGCTGCACTTGTAAACCATGTTCTTATACTAGGATGAGGAATGATGCTGCACTTGAAGCAACTAAAAAGAAGAATGAGATATTTCTTCGAGTTTTAAGGGTTGTTTGTGGTCAGGGATGCATGACAAGTGGTATGCAACATCTCTCTGAGAGTCGCCCAGAGCTAGTCGAGGTTTCAAGTGTCCCTCTTAACATTGTCAAGGTGGGGCTAGTGGAGGTTTCAAGTGTCCCTCTTAACATTGTCAAGGTGGCACCCAGAGCTATGTCCTTCAATGGTGAAGCTTAAGAAACCTGGGTTCAAGTTGGAAGCATTCCCATTACGCATGAACATATGAGGTATTCTGCAAACTTGCAAAGACCTGTGGCAGCTCATCCAACTCGACTGAGAAACAATAGCAGGAGGGGGTAGGCAGACAATGTGGTTTCTGGTTGTGGTTAAAGAAAAAGGACACTTCCCAAATGAATCATTATGGTGGCTGAGGCCAGGGAGTACCTATTTATATGCTTGGGAGGAGAGATTGAAGAAGGAAAGGAGCACTGCCAGAAAACCTGAGGTGCACTCTAGTGAACACCACAGGCCAATGGACACGATGATAGGTGGCTAGAGCCTGGCACACGACCAAACAGGAGGGGGGTGGGTGGAGGGGTTGAGCAGCTCCTCTGCAACAGCTTGGGGAAGAAGTTATGAGCTGGCAGCTGACTTATCATCGAATAGGTATGCAGCAAAAGGTAATGGATCTGGATGAGGAAGGATTAACACGGTGGACACAGAAAATCAGGGGTTGCAGAATTGAAAAGGGATAAAAATAAATATAACTGGCTCCAGGTCTGCAGGGTGTAAAATTAAATACAAATTCAAATTCAAATTCAAATTTGAATTTGCAAAGGTCAACACGTGTACAGGGAGAGGCTGAAGGTATTAGTAGCCACATGAGGATCTTATACTTCAGCAGATGAGAGGGGGGGTGGGATTATAGATAAGCTAAATGGGGCCAATCCAACAGCTCTAGATCTATTACCAGTTATCAGGAATATCCGATCGATGGGATTACCTCGAAAGGAGGATGACACCCTAATCCTTGTTACAAGTTCAAGCTCAACTTTCAGGATGCCAGATGGGGCACTGAGAGAGTCATGCCACAGTTCCAGTACAAACACATGGCAAAATGTGGAAGATTCCATGACGAGAGTGGATTGGTTGGTTGAGAAAGCAAAACAAAAGCTTAGACAATACCTACAGTGGCTAGCCAGCCAGAAGCATCTAACGTGTGCCTTATGTTGCCTGCCACCTCGTGAGGATGGCATACATCAAATGGAGAATAGCTATCCTCAGCGGTCATCTATGGGATGACCAGATTGTCCCTCTGGGCAGTTCTATTTCAGTGATGACTAAGTTTTCCTATGGGGATATTGTTGACCATCCTTCTCCAACATGGCCACTCCAATTTCTGGTACTAGAAGGGCTCCTTCTCGAAGGGGAAACTGAATAATTGCTTCTGATTCTAATTGTAGTTGATGCTAGAATCCTTAAGACACATTTTCCCCATTCCAGGCATCTCAAGTGGTGAGGCAGACATAGGAGCCATATTTAAAGCTTTGTTCAAAATACAAATATCCAGCAGATGTGTCGAGAAGGCTCCTTCTTTAGGATAACAAGATTGAGAGGCTTAGGTACAATGGTGTTTCACCTATATCTATGCTGACCTTTCATGGAGCCACCCCATTAATGCCTATTGAGGTAACAAGTGAAATTTGGGGGAATTGGCTTGGGAGTGGCATCTTCAGACCAGGGTTCTCCTATGCTACTGATTGGGAAGAGGGGGATTGTTCCTATCCCCAGCCCATTCTGTCCCTTTAGCTTTTTGATGATACACAAAGGTCAGTTACTCCAGAGCAGAGAGCAAATCATTGTGAGGTTTTGCTAACCAAGGTTGATGTGATCATGTCGATATTATTTGTTTAAAGTTCGAAAAAATCCCACTCAAAAGTTTCTCCCTATGCACATGTTAATCTGGCTTTATGGATCCTCTTGAGGTTTTAGGGTGGTTTACATCATCTGATCTATCATGGGCCACTTGGATGTGTTAGAAGCTAGTTCATTGAGTTCCACGTATTAGGTTGTCTTGCACATTGTGTCTATGTGAGTTGCATCTTTGGTTAATTACTGAAAGATTGCTCTTTGGTTTCTCTCCTCTAGGTAACTATTTTGAGATGTTTATTGTTTTGATTTTATTATGGCATTATTCATTTCTTTTCTTGCTCCCTTCCTGGGTTTGAGTATGGGTCCAATGGCCATGACACTTACTAAATGTTTCAAAGTAATGGATAGTGAAGTTATTAAAATTTCGCTATGTATTAGTGATACTCTATATTCTCCAATGACTTTGTTCTAGTCTTCTTTTCTTATGTATGAGAATTGTAATGAAGTCAAATTATCGTTTTCTCTTTTCAGTTTAGTAGCCATCCTCTTTTTTTTTTTTTTATAGGTATGTTTTCAAGTTTATTTATTTTTGAATTGATAGGGATGCTGAGGATCATATTTCTTGGCTTCTCCAGCATGGATGGCATGAAAAAGCTTTAGCTGCTGTTGAGGCGGGCCAAGGTCGAACTGAACTTCTTGATGAGGTAACTGGAGCTCCTCTTGCCTTTTCCTTATTACTGTTTATGATTTTAATGTGAGTCTTCATATGTAGGGTATAATCTCTGTAGTTATTCCAAAATTGTTTATTTGCACTTTTTCATTGTCTTTGATTTTTTGGATTGCAATTCATGAATTTGAATTTCTTTTCTTAAAAGAAAGTATAATGTTAAGTACTTTAGAAGAGCAAAACCCACCAGAGTAAAACCTTCTCTACTGGGCCTAGGGCCTAATTGCTTCCTGACATGTGACATGTGTGCTACTTGTACCAGTCCATCCAAGAATGTGCCCCTCCTAGCATTTGCCTTTCAGTTTAACCTTGGCTTCACTCCTCCTGAAAGCCCCTATGATACTTTCCTTGCCTATGACCTTACAAAGGAAGGATTTTGCTCGACAATTACTAAATATTATACCACCCACAACACTTTTAAAAAGAAACATTATAACACCCACAATGTATTCCTCACCGACAATTTCTGAACATTGAATCCTTTTCAATTTGAGTATAATTTTTAATGTATCCTATCATCATCCTCATCTCTTGACTGTATCTTATATTTCTTTAATCACATTAAGATTTGTTTCTGCTCCCCTTTTTGCACATCCTTCTTGTGTTTTTATTTTGCATATTTTACTGTGATTATCTCCAACGTCTATAGCTTTTTATGAGGAAAAGGTGATGGATCTTTAATGCTTATAGGTTTTTTTTTTGAGAATATCTTTAATGCTTATAGTTATGAATGATAATAAGTATTTTGGCAATTAGTTAAGCGAAGAAGAGCCAACGTAATTTGTGTGCTTTATTTTTAAAATGATTATGAATCTATGCTCACATTGTAACAGGTGGGATCAAGGTACCTTGACCACTTAATTCTGGAAAGGAAATATGCTGAAGCAGCATCTCTGTGTCCCAAGCTGTTGCGTGGATCTGCTTCAGCATGGGAGAGGTAGAAAATTTTAGTCCATATGTTTGTTGTGTCATATATTATGTTTACTACTACTTAGACTAACTTGAAATCTGTTCTCAGATGGGTTTTTCACTTTGCACATCTTCGCCAGCTTCCTGTGTTGGTGCCATACATGCCGACTGAAAATCCACGACTGCGGGATACTGTCTATGAGGTTTGTGGATTTTTTGGCTGCACAGCATCTATTGTTGTGCCTTACACACTATGAAATGCTTTATGATATGCCATTTTTTATGGCTTTTTATTGGAATAATTTTTTTTTAATCTTTTTCCAGGTTGCTCTTGTCGCTTTAGCTACAAATCCATCTTACCACAAAGAACTTTTATCTACAGTTAAATCTTGGCCACCAGCTATATATTCTGCATTGCCAGTTATTTCTGCTATAGAACCCCAGCTCAATTCTACCTTAGCTACTGACACACTGAAGGAGGTTGGAAGAAATTTCAACATTTGATTCATTTAGTTATTGCATTTCATTTTGATGTGGTATTTGATTTTGGATCTGACGAGGAGCACTTTCCATCACAGGCATTAGCTGAGTTGTATGTCATTGATGGGCAATATGAAAAAGCCCTTGCATTATATGCTGTTGTAAGGATCTCTATCTTTTTTGTGCCTAACCGAAAGGGAACAAAATATATGTTATTCTTTTATGATGCTGGTCCATTATTTGATTGGGTGCAAAGCTTTTTTAAATCGTGAAAAAGATTTTTGTGTCCTTATATTTAACATGGTTTTTTCTCATCTTTTTCAGTTGAGGAAGCCTGAATTGTTTGACTTTATTGAAGATCATAACTTACATGATGCCATCCATGATAAGGTATTTAAGTTTATGTTCATTCTTTGATCTGATCAAAATATAACATGTGGACATGGACTGTGTTTTAATTGTGCGTCATTCCCAATCTTGTGACTGATCAATTTACTTGCCTGTAACCATATATTCATGGAAAATATTATATATGTTAATGATCTTTTTCTCAAGAATATATCAATGAGACATGTTTCAGTTTCCAGGTCACATTTGTTATACACTGCATTTTTTTTTAGTTTTTAATCAGCCACAATTCTCCTTTCCTTATTTGTGGCCAAACTGTTTAAAGGCTGTTTGTATGGAGTGTATATGAAAGGTGGGACTGTTTAACGTCAAAATATTGAAAAAAGAAAAGAAAAGATGGGACTGTTTATGCAAATAGGAAAACATGAATCTCATTTATTTCCAGAAAACAAACAAATATGACTTATTTACCATCAAAGTATGAATTGATATGGGTTTACAACATTCAAAATATGCCTGCTAGAAACAAGATCAATATTAAGTTTACACCCAGACATAAACAGTGCTTTAATCAAGATGAAAATTCTAGAAAATTAGAGAAAATTTGTCTGTATGGTTATCTGTGTGTCTGATTCTGATATGCCTCTCAATCAGAAGAATCCTTAAGATGATGTGTTAGAATCTGCAATGGTTATCCGAAAACTGCCATGATGTATCTGAGGCTGTACTTCAATGGGGTTTAAAAATGGATTTGGGCTGGGAAAGGATTTTGATGCTTAAGTTCTCTACCAAATTTGGCCTAGTAATGAGAATGTTCCTCCTCTTTAAAGGCCAAAGTTTACCTTGTTATGCAGTTTGTAGTTGCCATAATGGGCTCCTGCCTGGGGATGGGGTTGAGGTCGTGGTGGTAACACCACTTGAGCATCAGCTACCGGTCTAGGTCTCCATTCCCACCGATGCATTTGAAAGCCGCTAATTATTTCTAAAAATGGGTAGGGGCCTGTATTCCCAATGATCTACTCAAAATAATGGGCTCTTGCCATAGGTGAGGGACCTCTGCCTTAACAAATTAGTGAAACGAGTTTCCAAAAGATCGGGAATGTGTTCTCAATGGAATGGGAATGTGTTGGGAATGGGATATCACTCTTGGAACGCAGTTCACCTTAGATAGAAGATCCTGTAAACTTTGTTTTTGTGGGAGGGAAGAGTTAAGGAAGTTTATTTGGAACCAATGCCTTGGTAATATGATGGCTAAATGGAAATTACCAGAAAGAAAAACAGGGTAGGTAAAATGGTTTTGCATGAATTTGGTAGACGAAGAAGAACTCCACGTACTCGAGAGTATTGGGATAGGGGTAAGGTTATTAGGTTTACTAGGTTTTTTGGATTTATATAAGGTCATTTATCCTATGTCTAAAACTTTTTCCTTTGCTTTGGAAGCATAAATCAAATTAAGTATTGTTTATAATATTAGTTGAATTTTGGTCTAATAAGGGTGAGGACCTTAAATTTTCCCCTAACCTATTCTAAGCCCGGGTAAAAGAGGTGGGTTCTGTTAGGTAGGCACCCGACGTAAGACTTTGCCACATTTTATTATGAATCCTGAACCTATTGGAGGAATAGGATTCATGTAGCTTACCCAAATAATTGGGATAAGGCTTGGATGATGATGATGATGATGATATAATATTAGTTGAATTTTTGGAGTGTCTTTTGCTTCTTGTACATTTCTTATCCCCTTATCAATAGTTAGCAGATTAAAAAAATATCAGTTGAATTTGGCTAAAACAGCTTAACATAGAAGCTATTGGCTGAAACCTTTGAGAATGCCATGATGTTTTTAGAATGCAGTGAAGAATTCAAACTAAACGGGTAATTTTTGGAAACAATAACTATTAACAAAATAGTGAATCTCTAGGGCTTATCTACAATTATTGTATAATGGGAAAATGACAGGAAGTGTTTTAAAACTCGTTGAGTCTACTTCGGTCTCCTAAGATGACTCGACTCGGAAGCCTGATTAGTTTCAGCGAGTTTCACAAAACTCAGCCAAGTCTCACCAGTATGCTGGACATTTCGGACAGATTTGGATGGATCTTTGCTAATTTGGCAAAGTTGACTCTGTTTTGGCTCCGTTTGGGGCCAGGCAAAGTCCCAAGCTAAGTTTGATTTTAAAAAATTGGCCTGAAATGCCTTTCCTATGTGGAAAGGACTAAGAGGATGACTTTGACCTAACTATAGAAGTGCCCCCATGCATTTAGAACATATGATTACATACTTATTATATACAAAATACGACCCTTCCATTACAAACTTAGCTGATAATTTATCCAAAATTAATGCCTGGTGGTCGTCGTTGTCTTCCCCTTAGCAAATATTTTATTTGAAGGATATGTGAAGGTTAATGTTTATTTGGCTAGGTCGAAACACCTGAATCCTTAACTTGTTCTGTCCAACCTTGAGGCGAGTTCTCGTGATTATGTGATTGCAAAATATAATTCTCAGAAATTTAGGTTACTACAAAACTCTCACCTTTCCTACATTGAAATATTATTATGGTATCATCTCATAATGTGAAATATATTTTTGCTTTATAATCTCCTTGGGCATAATTTCTCATGGAAAATGGTGCATAAAGGTTAATAGAGGATCTCCATGTTGGTACATTGCTGTGATTGCTCTTTGTTACTCCTGTTATTGCAATGTCGTTTTGTGTAGACCAACTACCGTTTCTTAATTTAGCATAACCAACTTGATTTAATCTGTTACCAGTTCATTTATTTACAATGGTTCTACTAATATTTTATGAACTCTTGCTATTGAATAGTGCTCACAATTTCCCAGTTTCACTGGCTTCTTGTTTATGGCTGTTGTCCATTTCTTCAATAGTGTACTTTCTATCATATTTTTGCCCCGATTATTTATTCCCTTGTGAGATGCATTTTCTTCTTTCACCATCATGCTCTTATTTTGGTCTTTTTTGGTACAGGTTTTACACCTAATGGAACTGGACTGTAAAAGAGCAGTTGGCTTATTGATTCAGAACCAGGTCACAATTTCCCCCTCTGAAGTAGTTTCACAACTAATGTCTGGGGGCGAGAGTGACCATAAATATTTCTTGCATTTATATCTACATTCACTTTTTGAAGTGGATCCCAATGCAGGGAAAGAATTCCATGATCTTCAGGTGCTCTATTTTTCACCGTCTTTTTAGTTTGATATTCTGTTCTATAGCATGCTAAAATTTTTCAGCAAGCCAAAAGTTTTCAATGCGTGTGTGTTTTCGTGTAGGCACCAAATTTTTGACACATGCTAGTCTCATTGAGGCTCTCAAAATAAAAGATTAAAGCAAAAAAATTAATGATTTCACACAAAGACGGGGGAAATGAGTCCATAATTTTGGTTCCATTTGATTGATGCTGGATCTAAGCCTTCAAGGATTCAAAATTGACTTTTTTTTTAAATTGTTTTTTTATGAATCAAATATTTGCAAAGTTCTAGCCCATAAAGATCCTCTTGCTATACATCTTCCAAAAAAAAAAAAAAAAATCCTCTTGCTAGTTTAGTCAATGGATTTATACTGTGGTATTAGCCACTTTGAAAAATATGGGTTGTTGGACTTCAAAATATGCAAACATGTATATCTAATCTTGGCGATCAAAAAGAGAGAAGCACAAAACAATGTGGGAAAATGAGTCTTACCAATTTTGGTGAATGCAAGCTATCCATTTGGTGAATGGAGATCCAGACTTTCAAGAAATCTTTTTTTTTTGTTTTTTCACTTTCTTATTTTTCACCCAAAAACATTCATCTTGCTATTTTTTTTGTCACTTGGAGATAACTATATATATATATATATATATATATACCATCTTCATAAACTAATGATCAAGTAAGTATGCTCAAAGTTTCTCTAATGGGTGGAACCCTCTGGGCTTGTTTTCATTGTGTCATGTGAGTATTCAGAGGCGTCCGCTTTATAATTTTTCAGTGCCATAGTTGCACCATATGTCCACCTTATGCTCAGATTTATTTGTTTCAATTTAGGTGTCGTTTGAATAGAGTGATTACATAGTTCTGCTTATTGAGTTTATCTAAATACAAATTCTTGATTATTGGATTCATTGGACGAATTTTGTGAACTTGATACAATTTGGTTTGTCGAGATTTTTTTGATCTTTTTCTCTGAGGTCTGTATGTTTGCAGCTAAAACTCTGATATGCATCAGGAATATTAGATTTCATGAAATATGCACTCTTTGTATTTGACAATGCATGACCTCATTGAATTGGTAAGTTCCAGTGGGGTCCAGAATTATTCAGGATTTTGTCATTAATAACAGTAAGCACTTTCTCAAAAGAAAATAACTGCAAGCACCAATGCAACTCACTGCAAAGTGTTGTACAGGGCAATGAAGTGTCTATAAGACCTTGCCTCTCTTTCTCATTGGTCGTTGATTTTCAGTGGAAACTGCAACATCTAGAGAGTTGTCTCTTTTCGTGAATTGTCCGAGGAAAGAGAACACAATCTTATTTCACAAATTTTGTTCAAAAGCAAATTTTGCTGAACTGTATTGAGCTATATTTTTGGTAATGTTAGAGTTAATAACAAAAAGAAGGGATTCAGGAATCAAGGCAATCTGCCATCTGCCTTGACGTTTATACTTACCGTGATATCCCCCCACCCTTGCCCTAGTCAATTGTTTGAGATTTCATTTTTGAAATGACTCGGCTGTGCCTTTTGGGGACTCTCCTGTGTCTCTTCAGGTAGACTCAGATCGGGACACTACTGAGTCCCAGCCCAAGTCCATGTTTTAAACCTTGTTCAGATAACCAGATCAATTTTTGAATATTTAGGGCACTTCCACAGCTCTAACCCGAAGGAAGTCTAAAAAATAAGAATTTTCAAGCTAAAATAGATGGCTCTCAGTTAACCTTTGATATTTATATGCCAAGACGAAATGATGGATTTGTTAATCAGTTGAGCAACACTTGAGGAATAGGATAAATAGAAAGAACTTCTCTGAAAGGACAAGGATAAAAATTCCAAAAGAGAAATAAAAAAAGTTATTGTCAAGATATCTTATTTCTTTTTTTTTAGAATTATTGTCTATATACCCTGTTAAATTTGACCGAATAATCGTTTTAATGAGGGTTTGACGCAAAAAATGTGGCTGCAATTTCCAAGTTCTTTTGAAAGTCACCTTTTGTAGATTATACTGTTTATATGATTTTCAGTATTCCCTCTTAAGTTTGCATGGGTGCTGGGGGTTTTAAGACGATGCACTGTTTACATGATTTTCACGCCCTTGGTAAAGACTTGTCCAAGCTTATTGCAGTTGATGCACATAAATGATTAATCTCACAAATTCGTTACTTGTCCCTACCAATGAGGGGATCCTCTGTGGTTTGGCCCCTTTTGTTGTGTTATTTTCTATTTGGATCACATGCCGATGCTAAGCTACCCAAAAACAAAAACTACCATGGTTCCATGATTACCTTCTGTCACATGGGAGAGGGATTGTATACAGTTGTTTACAATTATCTGGGCCTGACTGTTACTTGGATAACAGCCCATTCATTTTCGAGAATCATCTCTTGCCACATCTCTACTAGTTAATACACTCTACTCTTGCAACCAGAGATCAAAAACTTGGTGAGTCAACTAGGGGCTCATCCAGTCAGCTCACCTCAGGGCCCTGCTGAGCCACGTGGCAGGGGCTGATCCACAGAAAACCGTTCCTGGTTTCCTATCCCTTGCAGCCCTTACTGATCATATTTTTCTCCCGCTCTCCGGCCTAGACAAGATAATCTGGTCGCCCTCTCCCTCAGGGACCTTTTCACTCTCATTTTACTACAAGGTCATTCAAAACGCCGGCAACTCGCTCCAACATACCACATCTACTGCTGCTAAAGCGTGGCAAGCAAAATCCAATTTTTCAGCTGGATTGCTATATCCGAAAGGACCCTCACAATCGATCAGCTACAAAAAAGAGGCCTACAGGTCATTAATCGATGTGCCATGTGCTCCTCAGCAGAAGAGTCCAATGCGCATCTATTTTTGCACTGTGAGATTGCCTCTTCACTTTAGGGCCACTTCCTAAAATTATTCCACTGGCCTTGGGATACGCCCCAATCCATACCCCATCTATTTCGCACATTCCATTCACAACCGTGGCACAAATCAGGGATACTTCTCTGGGGGGTCAACAGTGGGCGCAATTCTCTGGGTTTTGTGGACAGAAAGAAACCCCCAGGACTCGATCAAGACACTAATTGACAAATCCTCGTCTTTCATCATCACTTAGGCAAAAAAAAAAACAAATTTTTTTCACAGTGCTCTTTCTCTGATTTCTACCAAGATTGGGCTGCCCTTCTTCACCTCAATAGCCACCATATTCCTCAATCGTCCCTTTAGAGGCCACCACAAGAAGGCCAAATCAAGCTTAATTTTGATGGTTGCTCTTTCGGTAACCCTGGCTTTGTGGGAATTGGTGACCTTTACCATGATCCAGCCGGCACCACCCTCTTCTCCTTCTCACGTTCTATTGGTCAAGCCAACTTTAACACAGCAGAGGCACAAACCCCACTCAAAGGCCTCAGACGTTTCAGCCCCCTGTGGAACTCCAACCTAGTGATCGAGGGTGATTCTAGGAATGTCATCTCCTGGGCCTCCAGCCTCACCTTGCCCATGGAGATTGGAGCACATTCTTGATGAAATCTTCCACATATCCAGGGTCTTACCATGTTCTGGAGGCACATCTGGAGGGAGGCAAATGCGGCTGCTTACTCCCTTGCTAGGGAGGGTACTTCTTGGTCGGGTGCATCCTAGGGGAATTTTTTTGCCACCTTAGAGATTGCCATTCTACTTATAAGCTCCAAAGTTTCAAGTGTATAGCATCTCTTGAATCCCTTCAGGGGATTGACACTGTTTCTTGCACCCTCGGGGTTTTTATACTTGGAGCCCTTTCTATGGATCCTTTTATTTTTTTACCGATGCACCTCTTCTTTTTAGCAATACAACAGTTAACATTCTCAAAATAAACAAAAAACCCAAAAAAGAAAAGAAAAGAAAAATAAAGACTTGTGAGAGTTTATATATGTTTCCCCAATTATAATAAAACTCGGCTAGTTTTTGATTAAGACTTGTTGAGTCTTGACAACTCGTGACTCTTCAAGTATAGAAAATTACTTTTTTTGGGGGAAAGATTTGAGAAATTATTATACAATTTGGAAACATGTTAGGGTTTTAATCATGAAGATAGGCAAGATCTATATGTTGTAGTGTCTCCACCATGATGTTTACCTACATTTTTTCAGTTGCTGTCGATCACATATTTTGTGAAAACTTTTGTTCTCTTTTCGCACATAATTTCACTAACTTCTAATGCTGCAATATGCAATTTCCTTTGGTTTTTTGGCATCCTTTAGTCCTTACAAACTGTATGATTCTATACACTTAAGTGTCTTGTTTGGATTGTTGGACCTTTCATATGTTGCAGATTTTTACAATTTTGTTATCCAATTAAGTATTACCTTTTTAACTTACCCCTAATTGAACCTAACTTGCATCTGTACCTGATCTAAATAATTTTAAAATTTGACTAATTTTAAGAATAACTGCTCATATATCCATTAATATTTATAATTATTTTTGAATTTTTTTTTAATAACCAATGGACTGGATTATCTCCAATACTGGCTAAAACTCAACTCTATGATATTTTCATGTTATTTATGTTTTATATTTTTTAAATTTTTTTGTCTCTTTAATTTTACTATCCTGTTTTTCAATGTCTTAAGCTTTTGGCAGAACTATAAGTCTGCTTCTAGTCCATCAAAGTTTAGTGACTCCAACTGCCAAGCCGGGTCCAGTTTTAAGACTCAGCTTGCAACCTTTAATATTTTTTGAAATTGTATACTTACCATTTGAGTCCTTTTTTTTTAATGTATAGGCATAGTTATTACCACAAGGGATCCTATGCTATTTGGAAACTGAACCAGTGGGAATACGCTCATGCTCATTTTACTTCTATATGTGATGGTTGAATGAATTATGAGCATAGTCCAAAAAGTCGGCCGCACACCTGCCTGGGTGGGGGTTGGGAGGCCTCACCGCCTCGCACTTGGCCCATGTGACTTAGAGCGGGGCGGTGACCCTATGGCCGACTATTCGCCTAGGGCACTATTTGGGCAGGTGCCTGCCCAGAGCCCCTTATGGTGAGGGTGAAAATCGCCCTTGTAAAAGAGCAAAAAATGTATTTTCCCCCTTTAAAAGGTTGAAATGGAATGTGGGTGGCATTCTTTCTCCTCCCTCCACCCCTGTGAAAAAAGAAAAAGAAAAAGGGGGAACTCTTTGTTCCCCAAAAACTACTTTTTAGCTCAAAATCAAATTTTTTTTTTTTTAAAGCATGAGTTTGAACTTGAATTTGAAGTTTTCCATTTCTTGCAAAATCAAAAGGCATTCGACCCGGGATTTTTTGGGAATTAAAGTGGTTGCAAAAGGTAGCTTTTGACAACCGAAAGTGACCGATTAAAGCCTACTTTGATTATTTTTCGAGAGGTTAGTAAGTTTAATTGTTTATGTTTAGGGTTTATTATTTTTGTGAGTATTGTGTTATGTTATGATTTTTTTTTCATTTTCTTGTTTTTATTTTTGAAGTTTGGGCTTCATGAGTAGTTTTTTTTAAGCATTTGCTCTTTTTTTATAATCAATGTATTTTTGGCTATGTTTCTAATTTATAGTGCAAATTTGACAATTCATAAAATATTTTTGACTATGTTTGTCTTTGTTTCTAATTTGTAATGCAAATTTGAAAATATTACTTTATGTTGAGCTATGTTTCTAATTTTTATTGTAAAATTGAAAATTTTTAATATGTCCCCTGTCCTTCTCTCTCTCTCTCTCTCTCTTCTTTTACACAGTGACTGCCCAGGTGGTTGGGACCCCGACCTCCTGGGCAGTTGCCCTCATCTTCTTGAAAATTAATTATCAGTGCTTGTAAGACCAGCTCTGGATAAACATATCCAATAAAAAATAGCTCCCAGAATGTATAAACAAAGCAAATCAACAAAATTTCCTAGAAAATGGGGTTTTGGTAATTGTTTTTTAATTAGCAACCATTTTATAGATTGTGGAAGTATAAGAATAGAGATGTATACATCACAGGAAAGGGAAAGAACAAGAGAAAACTTGGAAAGGGCAACGAGATCCATTGGGAATAAAAAGAAAGTGTAGAGGGGTCGTGGGCCTAGCTTCGGGTCCATCATGTATATGTAAAGATGTATTCCCTCTTTGGCCAGGGCATCTAGGAAATCATTTCCTCATCTATAAACATCACTTAGAAGTATGCTAACTGGAGTCCCACAATACAAGAATCTTACCCACATGGTCTATTGATGCTAAGGATAGGATGGTGGTCTTGAACCCTACGAATGATTAAAGAGTTACCTACCACGACAAACATGAGATGAAAATGAAACCTTATAGAGTGTCAGCACCATCACGTTTTAGTAGTGGACTTGTCCTTTTCATATTTGGGCACTAGTTTGGGAACCATGTGCCCTGTGTAATTATAAAGTCTTTGGAGTATTTTCTCAGGGTTTGGTGTATATGATTTGAAATCTTTTAAGAAAAACAACATGGGTGGGAAAAATTAAGGGTCAATCCACACTTGGCATCGTACAAACATTGTGTCAGTCTTTCCAGTGACCAAAGCCTAAGGGACAGTTATTTCCAGCTATAACAGTGGAATAACAAAATAAAAATTGTGACTAGATGGGAGGTCCAGCACACATTCAAGAGACAAGTCTTTTCCCCTCAGAGGCTTGAAGCTGAGGCTTGTGATTTCAGATCCTTCTTTCGAGAGATGCTACTGTGTTTGCTTTTGAAACTTTGACTCTGCCTCTCAAGTTTGAAATGTGTTTTGAGGCATATCCTCCTTGCACTTTGGACAACACTGATATCGGCTGTAAGCATTAATCTTTGACAACTTTGATAGTTGCAACTATTCCAGTGAACTTATCGAGCTTGCATCCAATATAGCAAATGGCTGTGTTTAGATGTTCATTAAATTTAGAGTATGTTCCCAAGTGTGGTATGGTTGGTATATGTCCTGATAATTTGGTACATAGGATACATATTGGAGTCAAGTCTTTGAACTTCAATTTGAAAATTGAAATAAACTTACAATCAAAATTCATAAATTTTTGTAAATGTTTCTGTCACGACCTAATGACTTGAAAGTAGAAAAGTATTGCTTGTGATTGTATCCAGCATGCATCTTAGTCTATGAGGAATATGTAAACAATCTTGGTACTCAGATTCATGCTTGTTACATTTTAAGCATGTCCAACATTCTCATATGTTACTGCTTTGGTTTGTTTATGTGTGTGGTACAGGTTGAACTATATGCAAAGTACGAGCCACGATTGTTGCTTCCTTTTCTTCGCAGTAGTCAGCACTATTTACTTGACAAGGTTTGTAAGATACTAAATACTTCTTAAGTGAAGTTCTATAAATGATGGTGTATCGTTTCATCAATCTGCTGAATGTTTTGACCAGGCATTGGAAATCTGTGTAAGCAGAGGCCTAGTGAGGGAGCAAGTCTTCATCCTTGGTAGGATGGGAAACACAAGACAAGCCCTGGCTGTAATCATTAATGAGTTAGAGGATATAGAGGAAGTAAGCTCACTGCAGCCATTCTGTTTGCCTTTCTTCATGCTCTACTTCTGTTATGCACTTAGCAATCATTCATGCTTGATGTATGTGAGCTATGAACTTTGCTAAACTGTCTTCTGCAATTGCATAGGCTATAGAATTTGTTGCCTTGCAACATGATGAGGAACTTTGGGAAGAGCTGATTCAACAAAGTCTTCGCAAGCCTCAAATGGTATGAAAGATAGCGTGCAAATATTTCTAATTATATTCATGAATTTAGCAATCTAATTTTTTAGTATTTCTTTTGATGGGATACAGGTTGGAGTACTGTTGGAGCACACCGTTGGTAATCTGGATCCGCTATATATTGTAAATTTAGTACCAAAGGGTTTGCCAATACCGAGGTCAGTAATCATGTTTCTTATCTATGGGTACTGTGTTTTTAATGGAACTGTTTTTGTCTCTTTAGTGCCACAGTTCCCTTTTCCTCACTGTCTTATTTTATGATGTCATTTGATAATTTATTGGAATTTCCATAGTTTGAGCTTGGAGGGAAATCCAATTTTGTTATGAATTTTCCAAGTTTGATGTAGAGAAGGTGCTTTAATAACATTGTGGGACTGTTGAGAATAAAATGTTAGGTTGCTTAGCTAGTGATATACACCTCATTCTATTAGTACGGTGTTAACTACATTTACAGAAAAAAAAGGATTGCTTAATTAGTGAACATGTTTCAGTGCCCCATGAGTGTCAAATATGCATAATGGGAAAACTCTTTGTTGCCCCTGTGAGCTCTTCAATGACAGGTTCCTACATTATAATGCCTTTTACCCTGATATCTATGAGATGGTTTTACTCTTTTTGCTCTTTTGGATATTTTATGGAACTTTGCTTTGGATGCAACTGGTTTCCGAAGTACAACGCACTGCGTGCTGTAAAATAATACTTTTTTGTTTTGACATGGTATTTGACGGAATCTTTTTAAGTAAATGAAGTCTGTTTTGGCAATGGTAGTGATATTTATTTTGAGGTTCCCCTTGAAGCATGTGCCTCATCTGTATTTCATTTTTATTTACCTGGACTGCATGCCTTGCATGTGGCAGGAACGCCTCTTAGTGAAGTTTCTCCATGAGTTACTGGCCTTATTTAATACAAAAATCTACAAATTTATTTTTTTCCTTTTTTTTTTGGTAAAAAATAAACCTTGGAGAAAGCATTCAAGAAAAAATAAAAAACCTTTTGATCCACAAAAATCTTCTTCTATAAGCTAACTGGCTTGTACCTACTGTATATGCTGTGCCTCTAAACACATAGCTCGAGGGATTTGTTTAGGCTGAAAACACATCTTTAATTCGGAAAAACAAACAATTTCAAAAGAAATTGATTTTGAGTCCTTGAGGGTTTAGATCCACCATCCACCAAATGGTTGGCCATCTTTCGCAGAAAAGGCGAACTCACTCCCCATTATGTTTGTGCAGATTCTTTCTTTTTTCTTTCTCGCTTTTTTCACATAGATGATATCTAAGCATGTGAATTTTTCCAACCAACCCCTGCTTTTCAAGGTGGCTTATACTACAATATAAACCCGTTCGCTTATATAATCTTTTTCCTTGAGAAATACTTCTGCAACTGGTGAACACCTAAGACATGTAGTTGATGATGGTCCATGTGACGACAAGGAACATGCAGGATGACCTCTCTGTAAATGCATGTGCATGCATATGACTATGTCATGCTCTGAAAATGTAATGTAAACCCTAGTTGTCAAGTCTCTGTATGTGAGTGTACGCATGCGTGCGAATGAATGCGCACAAGTAAGCTTCAATTTTTGTGCTGCTCATATAATGGTTGGGTCATTTTCTCTTCATATCCTGACAAAACCCGTTTCACTTTTGAATGCACAAATGTTCCAAGTCATTAAAGTTAGACAGCTTTTTGTTGTTTCATGCACTAAAAAGGAACATGCACAGTTCTCTCTCTCAACTTGTACTGTGTGTGTTTATAGCATCCACTTATATGTGTGCTCACATACCCATCCCATGTTCTGAACACGTAGACGTGTAACCCATAGTCATCTAGCTCTCTCTCTCTCTCTCTCTGCACACACAAGATCATCCTTTGTGCTTCTCATTTAACGATTGCCTCACTCACCTTCACCTGTGACTTTTGTGTCCTGACAGTTCCATTCACTTTTGCATGCATAAATGTGCCATGCTGTTGAATTTAGATTGCTTCTTGTTTCTTGACATTTTCATGCATTTCATTCAGGCTCAGAGACCGTCTTGTCAAAATCATCACTGATTACCGGACAGAAACTTCTCTGAGGCATGGATGCAATGATATCCTCAAGGTGCAGTATCCTATGGCACTTCTCTCCATTCTTATTTCATGATCTGCTCTCATGAGTGAGAAATGGTTGTAATTCTGTTTCTTTCTTGGCTTCATTGTTCTGTGAAATGAATGGTAGGCCGACTGCGTTAATCTTTTGATTAAATACTACAACGAAGCTCGGCATGCTGTCTATATTGGCACCAGAGAAGACCATGTTTTTCATAATTCAGAGAGGGAGAGGGACACACATTTGATTATTGGGAAGACAGAGACTAGCAACAGGACAACAGAAACGAAATCTAAAACAAGAGGTGGTGGAAGGTGTTGCATGTGTTTCGATCCTTTCTCCATTCAGAATGTATCAATCGTTGTTTTCTTTTGTTCCCATGCTTATCACATTACCTGCCTCACTGGCTCGCCTGATTCTCTAACTGCGGGGACCGGAAGAGCTGTTTTGGTTTCGCTTCAAGATTCGGATTCAGAGGGTGGTGATGATTTCGAGTCTGGCGTGCGTTGTATCCTTTGTACTACAGCAGCAACAGCTTCTTTATAGGTACAGTGGCATTGTATTTTGTGGGCTTCGGTGGCTGTCTTTGGTTTTTTCAGTTTTCTGCGTTGTGTGCGCCTTTTTTCATTCTTTGACGCCATTTTCTGGTTTTGGCATGTAGCATATCCCTTTGTGTTTGATAGTCTCTCCCTCTCCTTCCAAGTCACCTGCCCCAATTTATTTCTTCGATGGCTTTTTTGCATTTTAATCATGCGGGATTAGGGGGATTTGATTTGAGATGAGGGAGATAAGCTTAATATATCTTAGTGTTGATTGTATGATCGTGGCTATGGGATAATAAGGTGCTCCTTACAATATCTTTGTAAATTACTGACAATGGAAGATGTAGCCTATTCATTATCCTTGAGGGGAAGTTTGAAAAGGTGGATCATGTAATATTTATTCAAAGGAAATTGCTTGAGTAGGTAGACTTCAACAAACTATTTTGTCAGAAATATTGAATTTTCCGAAATAGTGAATTTTCAGAAACTATTGAATTTCACAGGAGCTGAAATTGTGGAAAATTGTTTTGGCGCTTGTGTGGGGTGTGGGCACTTTGCTCGTATGATGGGGTGTTAAGGCTGCAGGGCATTGGACATAGGTGAATTTGGATAATTATTAATCAATGGAAAAACACCATGAAACCATTTACCTTTCAAACAAGGAGTTTGAGATATTAGATGTTAAATCAGGTTGCCACAGATACTGTACGTATACATTTACCTTTCAAACAAGGAGTTTGAGATATTAGATGTTAAATCAGGTTGCCACATACTGTACGTATAGCTGTCCAATTTGGCATCTAATAAATCTAATAACTATGATTGTTATTTGTACCGTATAATGTCTCAATTGGTTGTACAGTTACAAATGGGTGATTTTTCGCCATGTTGGCAAGACAAATATGGGATTGGTTCTTTAAAACCTGGGGATTTCCAATTCGGATTGCCGATTTGGATACAGAATCGGTTGGGACAAAATCAGTTCTGGATTAGTATGGATCCGGCTCAGATTCCACTTAAAACGCCAACGTACTGCCCCCCCCTTCCCCCACCAAAAATCAAAATCCCCACGTCAGAAACTTCTTATCTTTCTATTTTATTTTATTTTATTTCATTTGTTGGTTCAATGATCATAAAAATGGTTTGGATTGTCGTTCTAAGCCGATTCGGATTGGGATCAGGGATGGATGATCCACCCCTTCTATCCGTTCTTATAAAAACTGGTTGTTAAAGAAGTTGGGCAATTAGGAAAGATGCATTTTCTTTGAGAAAAAGAAAATTGCAAACTATCATAAATAAGCATCATAAAACATTTAACTATCAACTCCATTAAAATAAAAATGAAATTTGAAGCTCTTACAAAGCTCCAAACTGATTGGTATAAGGTGTGTTTTCTCGATCAAAGTTCGAGATGGTTGTCGTCATGGATCTGATTTTTACCATACTCAAATTCTCCAACGCCTGGTCGGAGTGGAAACCTGTTTAGGGTAAGGTAAAATTTTCAGATGTACATACACAAGGAGTGTAGCGAGACAAGGCAGAGTATAGAAAGTGGTCATCAGCTTAGCTTGTTCTTAGTTCATTGTACATGGAAAAAATTGAAAATAAAAATAAAAAAATAAATAATTATAATAATAATAATAATAATGATAATAATAATAATGTGAGAACTGCGCAATTTGGCTGGGTTGGATCACCCAGTTGCTTATCAAAATTGGCCGACTTTGTGGGGTACTAGTGATACCCTATACACACAGCTTTTCACAAGTACATAGAGAAGTTTGGCGAGACAAATGCACAAGGCAGAGTATAGAAGGTGGTAATCTGTTCATTCTTATTCCGGTTTCTGACTCAAACTGGATTGATTCCCATCGATAATTGATTTAGACCGGCCGATTCTGATCGAAACCGTGTTTTCAAACACTGGCGGTTACATGGCCATTAGTTGCACAATCATTACTTAGTCCAAAGTATGCTCCAAAAAACTCATGATTACATGGCCATTAATTGCGCCAATTATTGCTGCCCACTAGGGTTTTATTAGTTTGGTCAACTTACACTCACATAGTTTATGACCATTTTTTCTGAAGGGCACATAGCTTAGGACAATTTATAGGCCTATTTTGGGCAGTTATACAGTCTGAACCCAATTGATTGTTAGTGGTCCATCCGATTTGTACATGGTTGTTTGGCTTTGTTGCTTGCAGTCCAGGGCCTCAATGGCCTAATCCGATTTGTACCATGGGGCCATCTTTTTGTACTGTATTGCCAAAGGTCTCGTACCAAGGGTCTTTGCTGCTATCCTGTTCAGGTCATGTGTGCTTGGTTGTTGTGGCCCAGCAACACAAAGATGTGATATCTTGAAACTAGGCAAGCCCCCTCATATAAGTTCTCGGCTCAAAACACTTCTGACTGGTAGATTGTTAGCCCAAACCAACACAAGTCCATTTAGGACTAGCAGGTATTTCCGATTTATTATTTGGTCATGGGAGGTTCTGCATTTCTTTCATATCTTGCAATATGATGCTGAGAAGGGGGTTTGCCAAGCCTTACCACCTTAAGTCTGAGACTCTTGTCAGATACTTGTCCTGGCCCAAGGTCCTCATAAGTCAAGGTTTAGCCCAAGGTTTATGTATGCTCGGATGAAGCCTCCTCCGATAGTCCTCGGGTCTGTAATTGCCACCAAGTAACATCTCTTATGCACATGGTCAGGTCCTTTGCTGGCATCATGTGCCCATCGGTTGCGAGGTTTCCTCCGCAGCTGCTACCGTGCCCCATGCCACCTCATGTAACACTTGAGAGGATGGTTGAACTCCAACCTCACCAGTTGTAGTGTGTTTAATAGCTGCAAGGAGTATGATCGCATTTAGGATTCCTTCTCTCTTTAAATTATATATGAATCACATTGAGGGGTTGTTCTGGCGCATTTAGGATTCCTTCTCTCTTTAAATTATATATGAATCACATTGAGGGGTTGTTCTGGTCCCTCACACATACATGTTCACCTTTGCATTTCAAGCAGCTTAAGAACTTCCAGGCATCTTCTTCTCTTGGCCACCTGCTTCTCAAATCTAACCCCATACTCTCAATGTTAGACATTCAAGGCCCATCCTCACCTCTCAGCTCCATCTATCATGAGGGCTATACCATCACCAGAGTTGTAGGCAAGTCTCATACACCTTGCCTCCTTAACTTGGATTGAGCCCAACCTTGCGGCTTGCGGACAAAAATGAATAGACCGGTCCTCGATCTTTATCTTAATATCCAACATGAGAGTGATGCAGACTTCTACTGAATGCTTCGCGAGACACCCAAGTCACATTGCCGAGTAACAACTCATCCTTTGGCTGTTGTTTTAAGGCCCCCCAAGCACTCAACTTGGGCCTTGAAATGTCCTCAACTCACATCCATTACCAAAATTTGGTATCTATGTAGTGCATGGAACATATGCCAACATAATCTGCCTCATGGGTATGTGCAACCTCAAACACCTTTGATTCCCTTACGCCTTCCAACACCTTGGGCTCCTGAATTCTCATGCTTTGAGAGTCTAGACTACAGGTGGGATTGCATAAATCCTTGTAGGACCAAAAAACCTGGCTAGAAGGAGCCAGTTAAATCCTTGAGGTCATCTACAAGACTTATGAGCATCATAGGCACCACATCTCTTCTCCATGTTTGTGTCCAAGGTGGTGATGCTCTACCCCGGGTCACCATCTTGGACACCTTGTGTCATCGCAAGCATTTTATTTACAAGCCATTATATCATGCTTCATCCTATTGAAAAATGAACATGAGGGTGGATGTCAGTTTCGATGGGACTGATGTTCTAATTAATTTTTTTTTCCATCTAATAATTTTGGAGTGAATGATACACTGTGCTTATATTTTTGAAACTGTTAGTCGGATTAAAGAGAACGATGTGCGACAAAGGTATGGGGGGTGCGACCACCACGACCAGCAAAAGCAACAATGTTGATTCTAAACTATGGGAGATTTATAAGACCACATCTAAAAGATCCACTACGGAACATATCTCCATTCCTGTTATCCTACTGTCAAAGAGCCCATCGAGGTACATATTAGGGTCCTAGGTTGATGAAGGCGAAAAATTTGATTGATAAAAGCAAAAAACTTGAAACTTTCTCTGCAACAATGTTAAACTATGGCACATCCTTTGAGGCTTTTCAGAATTGGAACAAAAAGAAATGAAGGTGAATGGTAAACAGTGTATCTCTTGGGAATGTTTGATAGATTTCCCTTGAATAATTAATTTATGCCACACTACTATTTTAACTCAAATATGCCTATGGATTTAAATTAGAAACCTGTGTTTGTTTTCATTTTTAATGTGTAAATTACCCGGTTACTTGATAATTCAAGGCATTTTTATTTGCGATCATTACTAAGGATTCTCATATATCTCTGATATCAACTTCAACCAAAGATTCCTTGGTAGTTTCCAAATGTTGAGTTGTTATGAATTCGTAAAGGAAAAAGTTTATATAAGTGTGAGGCTCTAAACAATCAAATTAGGGTGCATCTCGAAAATTTCACTAGAAGAAGAGGTTGTTTTGATGCCCAAATATCCTGAAATTGATCATCTCGACCTCAAGATGAATGGACATGAGAAAAAAATAGATTTCAAGTTTTGGAAATAATGCATCTTATGATGCATTTTTGAACCGTCAATTTTCAAGATTTTGTTATGCTATTTTGAAGTTTTAAATTTTGTAATTAGAAATGAAAATATATTTTAAAGCTATCACAAAGATTTCTAGTATTGAAACCACATTTCTCAACACTATTTGAAAGTGCGCTTTACTTTGATTGTTTAGAGCCTCGGCCTTATACAAACTGCACCCTTTTGTAAAAGGTGCTTCTTCATACTCTTATGGTAGTCTTATTAGTTATAGTAAGAGGATACAAGCAATTATCAATCAAGGAAGGCCACAAAATGAAGTAGCACAAATAAATGAACAAGGGAAAGGAAAACAAAAGATACACGAAAGTTACAAATGTTTCTTTGACATGCCAAACTATTGCAGAGTCCTTAATAGTTAGTTCCTTGATCATGTTCCTCTTGGGTATCAGGCTCCTCACACATGGAAGAGGTGAAGTAGAAAGGGCCAACAATGTGCTTGATAAGGTCCTTGTAAACAATGGATGGCCACTCGAGGGTCACCCCAGAGTGGCCTCTGCCGAAGTCCGTTGGAACGTTGCAGAGTGGGTCGGGGGATGAAACCAGCCGAACAAGACACCCGACGGTGCTCAAGCTCTTCCCTTTCACATACTCTTTCTTCAATGGGATCTCAAACTCTCCCTGTTCATCAGTCTCATCGCTTGCATAATAAACTGTTCTCTTTTGTTCATCCATGCATGTTACTGCCACCTTGCTGCCTGCATTAGCAGCTCACTGATTGTGAATCTGCTTAACATATGCATCCAAACGTACGATACTTGTCGTAAAAAGTGTATCACACACACCCAAGAGATGTAAGTTTTGGTTGAAATTCTATGGGTGGAGGTCATGAAACACAATGTCCCAAGTTCAAATCATGATATAAAATCTCTTATTTTGGTACCGTATTTATCAAATAACTAGAAGCTAGTGTGTTTTGAAATGGGGTTGTACTGTTGCAATCATCAAGGCCTTAACCAGTCGAGCCTAAGTGGAATTGACGAATTATATACATTCAAGGGATCTCATACTACTATACTGTTGCGATACCGTTCAGGCAAATTCATAACTCAAGTGGAATTGATGGACTAGAGCATTTAGTTTTTTCAGATGGAAATTATAAATTTTTTATCCTGTTTGCATATAAGTAGCTCCGGCAACAATCCAATGTTGCAGAGAAAGTTTGCAAGTTTACAGATTTTTAGGAAGTTTGATTGCAGCTGAGAGTTATACTCTCAAATGATCTATTGATGACATCAGACAGTTTGGAAAGAAGTTTTTGTCATGAAAAGTACCATAGTATATAGACCAGTGCTCTAAAACTCTGGCAAAATCACTGGCCCGAGTTACTCAGAATCGGCAAGGTGCCAATGCCAAATAGGAATTGGCCAAACTTGGCCGGTTCCTTCCAACAAAATTAGTATTATAGTACATACTGGACTCGGCCGAGTTTGTATAAACTACTTCGACTCGGCACCCTGCCGAGTCCTCCTAAAACCTGTATTTTGAACATTGATATAGACTCTAAGTAAAGATGTGTATTTCACGCATGTGTTACCAATTTTGGAAAAAGTTTATATAAGGTTGCAACTTTAAAATATAGAAATAAGGATGCACCTCAAAAATCCATCAAAAAATGTTGTTTTAATGTTGAAAAACCCTCTAATTGATCATCTCGATATCAAGATGTATGAATATGAAAAAGAAGAAGAGATTTTGAGTCTCAGAAATAGTGTATCTTGCAACACACTATCTAGACCATCCATTTTCAAGACTTTCATATGTTTATAGATCTACTTGATTTTAACTATTTTTGGAGTTTAAAATTTTATAATTAAATATGAAAATAGATTTTTAGATAATCCTAAGAATTTTTTATACCAAAACTTACATATGATGGTAAAATTTGGAGGTTCGTCTTAATTGGATTGTTTAAAGTTGCAACCTTATAGAAACCACACCCATTATCCTTCTTGAAGTTGGTAGTATGGAATCGTTTTGTTTTGCCAAAAACGAGTACAAGTAGGTTATAACATTTCAATTGGTATAATCGCTCGGTCAATAGCCATGTTACCGAATTGTAATCTCTCTTATCTCTATCAATCCAACAGCCCCAAAACTACAGTTTTCCTCATGACCAATTTAATGCTCCATAATAAGGTCCCAAGTTAATATTAAAAAGCGGCATAACGAGACTCGCCCATGTCCACTCGGTCTCGGGCGAGCTAGTGTACCCCGATTGTGTTTACAAGTCGGGTATATAAAATAAATTTTTAAAAATAAAAATTGTAAGAAATATATATAAGTTGGATATCTTGAGGAGTGTTTTTTTCTGTAACTCATATTTTTATAAATTTTTTGAGCTTTTAAGATGTCCTGTAAATCAATTTTCTTTTTTAATCCATTTTTTCCTATTTTTTTAAGTTTATTTTAACTTTTTAAAGTTAAATTTGAATTTATTTACCTTTACTACTTTTTTATTTTCCAAAATTTTCCTATTTTTTAATGTACCTAATGGATTTTGGTCGATTGGCAAAATAACATGCCTCGGCCAACGGCCCAATCCCTTGTGGACTAATTAAAGGACTTTTAAACGAAGGGAAAAGTTTATATAAGGTTGCAACCTTACCTATATAGCTACGGATGCACCTCAAAAATCTATCGGGAAAGATAATTTTAATGTTGAAAAACCCTTTTGATTGATCATCTCGACATCGAGATGTATGACCATGAAAAATACAAAGATTTTAAGTCTCAAAAATAGTGCATTTTACAACATATTATCTACACCGTCCATTTTCAATATTTTCATATGTTTATAGATCTACTTGATTTTAATCATTTTTTAAAATTTAAAATTTTATAATTAGATATAAAAATAGATATTGAGATAATCCTAAGAACATTTTACATCGAAATTATATACCGTGATAAAATTTGATGGTGCACCTTACCTCTACAGCAACGTTGGTATGTCAACTGCACCCTTAAATGAAAGGGATGAATAAGTGGTGAGAAATGGAAATGTTACCTTTGATAGGTTTGGCTCCATGCACCCACTCGTTCCAACCTTGGGTGCAGTCCTGACATAGAACCTTCCCTCCAACTCTCACCACTCCCCACTCTTCTTCTCCCAACCCACCAACCACCATTACCAACACTGCAAACGCAATACAACCAACTGCTAATCTCTCCATTCTTCAATTCTCTCTCAATTTGGAGTTTGCAGAGGGAATTATATACATATATATATATATACATGCAATGGGGAGTACGTGAGGAAGAGTTATATTAGACGTGCACCCCACTCTTGAGAGGGGATCACCAATTATAAAAAGTCATGTGTATTAATGTTGTCGCAACGTGGTGTCCCATTTTTTCTCTGATAAAATAATATTTACAAGAATCTCATTTCTTCAAGGTTAATAGTTTCATAAGGGCAATACCCACATAGAAACATTGTCCCTACATTACATGTGCATTGAGCAACCCATAGAATTTGAAATCCTCACAACTTATATGTCAGATACTATCCTTAAACTGAATCTATAAAATAAGCAAATTAACTTTAAACACTGTATGATTCCTTATTGGTTATGGGTTGGGAGAAAGCATGCAAATCAAATGAAGACAACCGATCAGTGTCCAAGGTTGGGCTTTTTTACTCATGAATTATCAGCCTTTTTCAAAACTGATGTCTTATAGTAATAAAAAAAGGGGGCAAAAAAAAAAGACTATAAATTACATTTGAGAATATACTTTTAAATTTATTTATTAATCAGGTACAACCTCAAAGAAAAAAAAAGAAAGAATTGTTGAAATTTTTTCAAATTGCTCCTGGTATTGGGAAGGCACATTAATTAAGGTTATTTTGATAACTTTACTCTCAATTATCTTATCATTCGGTTAAGACTTCTTTGAGAGTAAAATTATCAAAGTACCTCTAATTATCCGGATTTTTATCACGGATGTACCTGATTGATATAAAACACCCTCAATTGTAATATGTAATCTTTTGACCCCCCTATTGATATTGTAAAGAGTTTAAACCATTCTCCTAAAAAACATGGAAAGCATAAAGTTGGTGAGAGTGCTGGGATTACTTAAACCCAATTAATTTTTTTTCCCATAAACCTAATATTAAATGGCTAACAAGCAAACCTTTCCATATAAACAAACCACCATGTTTCCCAACAGGTGATCATGTTCTCCGAATCTTTTATTGGAATTTAGAAGCCGAATATTCTTCAAAATTTATTCAAGCGGTTTTACCAAAGAAATTTTTGTTATTTCTCGCATCTTTGTTCCAAATTTGACATCCAATATCTCTCTCTCTCTCTCTCACTCTCTCTCTCTCTCTCCAAATAAAATTGCTAAGGGCGTATGTTTAGATGCACTCATTGTAACTGATAATTTACTATTTCAATAAAATTAATCATGTAACAATGAATTATATATTGTTTGACAATAAATAAATTTACATGCAGTTTTAGATATAAATTTATCTTTTTAAAAAGCTGTTTATACTTCATTCAAAATAATTTGTCACTAATTACATGTTTTGGCCTAAAAATCACAAAAAAAAAGTTAATTAAGTAAATGACATTATATATAATACAAATACTACTAAACCATTAACATATGTTATCGAGAGTATACTATTTTAGATAAAATTAAGCTAAAATATTTCAAGCTCCCATGGGAGCATACTGTCCCTCTATTCTCTCAGGTAAAATCTAAAGTAATTTCAGGATGCTAAATTTTGAGGATGCAACATTGTCTACCCATAGTCTAACATTGTCAAGATTGATCTGAGAGCATCCAATCTTTTGAGTGTGAGATCTTAGAGTTAGAAAACATAAAAGGATGCAATTTCTATTATGCCTTGGCTTCATGGAAACAAAGTAAAAGCCTCACGTCGAGTCCTCGTCTCGAAAGTACTTTAGGTATCAAAAATCTCCATAATGACTCTAAAATCAATTTCCAATATCATCTTTGAAAAAAATAAAATAAATCTTGTAAATCCTTAAACACTTATTTTAAGGCAAAATAAACGGTGTAAATATATACGTTACAATATGCACTACTTTTAAGGCTTGAAATCCTAATCTTTTTTCACTGTCATAATGATTAAGACCGAGATGATCAATTTGAAGGTTTTTTGACACCAGAATTGTAATTTTCGATAAGTTTTCAGACATGGTTTACTTATTTTGATAGGGCTGCAGCACTATCAAAACATTTTCCAACTTAAAATTCACATTCCATTTCAAAAATAATTGTCTAATGATTCTTAGGTGCCTTCCAAAATTTTAGACTCAAAATTTCTCTTAAATATGTTGTTCGCCAGAGGGAGTAGATGGATAGTATATAGATAGTATATGCTCCTGGGATAGTATATGCTCCCACCGGAGCATATTATACACACTCATCCATACACGCCCTAAAAGTACATGCAAGCTCCCCTCAATGCAAGACCATACAAAATTTCATGTTAATGTTTGGTACCTTTGGGTGTTTCATTTAGTGCGTCATTTCATGAATCATTTATCATTCTTCTTTTATAAGCCACTAGTCAATCAAAAATATTTTTGGGTAGGTCAATAAAATATATTTATTATGATCAAACTCAAAATTTGTGCAGCATTTATCATACTTCACATTTTTCTACCATTGCAACATCCCCAACATCCACACTCAAAACACAGTAATCATAAATCTTGCTTGCAAAACATTTTTTTATTTAAATTAATTAATCATATTTTATGAATATTATTTTCATGAATATTATTTTCACAGGAGAGCTCACATCTAAGCCAAAGGCAGGGGGAACTTAGAACTTTACAAAAGTTCTTATCGCTCATGCACATCTTGGCTCATCCTAACCCATGCACAAACATTATTAGCACCACAAATCTACATTATCGTGGATTAAGCCTAATGTTAGAAATAATCAGCTACTTCAGCTTCCCCTCCATTTGGCTTGCATGTTCTCTCTCTCTCTCAAGCCTGCACAATGTCGAAATTCTCCTTTAGGGAGTCACCAAGTTGATTAGAAGGGTCTTCTTTTTCCGACTTCTCTTGCAAAAGCTCAGCATGTTGTTCCAAATACTCCCTACTATTTATCTCCGTTAACCTGCAAGAAATAACAGTCTGTCCATGTCATTGAGGGCAACATTTCAGCAGGAAAAGCATATCGTGCTCCAATGCATACGAGAACCATTAGTAAATTGGGATAAAACTATTCAATCTAATGATGGAAGGTGATGGAGAGTAGGATCCACCAATAGGATGTTCATGTGCATTGTGGCATCCAACTAACCATAGTCAACTGCTATACTATTTCTCTGGACATATCTTTTCAGGATCATCTTGAGCTGTTTTTTGTTTTGTTTTAAGGATCAAAGTAACAATTTAATCATATCAATATACCTGCTGATAGTACGGTCCTTTGCAAACCCTAGTTCATTATCCACACAAAGGTCAAGATCGTCATTTTTCCGTGATCTTGAAGATGTTCTAGGTGCCATCTTCTGGGCATCAGGCACTGTAACAATTCTCTCAAAAAGATCCATTGGAGAACCTTCGGCTGTATATAATAGTCGCGCCTTATTATCATACATCACCTGCAAAATACAAATTAAGTATCATACTCCTCTCTCTCTCTGTCTCTCACTCACTCTCTCTCTCTCTCTCTCTCTCTCCAAATAAATTTCCTTTACAGATCAACTAAATTTATTCACAAGATGTACAAATTTAACAGGGAACTTTGTGCCACTTGTTTGTATCACTATTGATAGTTCTCAAGAATTGTGAATATCGTTTTCTTCTATTATAGATACAGTTTTTCTTCATATATCTACAGAGTTGTCTGGAACCTGAAATCCATAAAACTAAATAGATTAGATATCACTTATGACCCCATCCCATTGGTGAAATCATTTTCAATCATCAACATACCATGAGTAGCTGATCCCAATTAACAGGGCTAAGGCTTGGATGATCAACATGCCATGAGTCTCTTTCATTCCCAAAAAGCACCACAATAACTGAATTCTAATCCTTGCTATTTTGTCATTGGTGACTAGTGTCTATAGAGGGATATCAAAGGTGAGCATTTGGTTTTCTCTGAAGAATGCAATCCTAATCAGCATAGATAAATTTCAAACTAAGTTTTTATGGGATAAGTTCAAATTAGAAGTATAGAACTATATGTTGACATTAAAAAATAATAACTTGACAAGTCACACAGGAAGATCTATTAAGAAGGAAAGAGGCATACATCAACCAAGGTAACAAAGCGATAAGCAGCTGTCCTATTGTGGAGTCCAAATACAGGTACACCTTCCAGAGCCAACGTGTGGAAATGCTCTGCAAGAAAAAAATTCATTTTCAGCGCAGTTGAGAACAAAACACAGGTAGTCATAGACCGAGCACATAAATCCTGTCTTCTCCAATGCTCATCATAATCTAGAAAGTCGCAATGTTTTAAAACGACAGATGTTACTAACTGAACAATCCAAAGTAGTCTGCAGCGCCCAAAGGCCTATCACAAAGGTCTTCAAAAGCAAAATATGCACACCCATTAGCTCCTAAAGGGACCTGAGCAAGAGAAGGAAAACATACATTTTAGAGGCATAAGTTTTGTAGTAAAAATATGACAGAAATTCAATGACATAGCAGCACAAATTATAGAAATCAGTAGTAACCTGTAATTTGCGTCCCATAACGACTTCCACTTCTTTTGGACCTGGCACATGATCTCCTATCAATTCTTCAAATTTTTCCTTAAGAAGTCCAGATTTCTCAAAACCGACAAAGCAGAATCCTTCCCTAGCCTACAGAAGATATCACAATTAAGTATGAACATGAGAACTACAGAAAGAAAAAAAACAAAAGATAGAAGAACATATGAACTTGCTAAAAAGTGAACTTATAAATCTCTCATAGGCAATATGTAACTTCACAAATTTAAACATCTTACTGAAGTCATTTTCCGGTAGTCTGTTGAAGAACCAATTTCATGAACAACACATCTTTCCTGCACCAAGAAAACCAAGTAAGCATCATGCAAGCAAGGTAGGCATATCATTTCATGAAAATGGTTACGTTTAACATGCATACTTGTGTACCCCACATATTCCACAAGTAAACCTCATAAACATGGTTTCACAACTTTGAATTACCTTTAAAGTGAAGATAAAGGGTAGAAAAAGGTCTCTCTGTAAGCCACCTTCATAAAGGTTATCAGGAGCACGATTTGAAGTGGCAACAAGCATCTGCATCCGAAGTCCATTCCAAGTTTTACTTATCAAAAGAAGCAAGTAAAAACTCGACATCATGCAAATCAAGACCAACATAATTGGAAGTCTGTATGGTATTGTCAAATGTAATTGCAAGTAGAATATAGAGAATTAAAAAGAGAGAATAGAAAAAGACAAAATACTCACAACGCCTTTCCTGAAAAGGTGCCCGAAAAGACGATTCAAAATCAAAGCATCAGCCACATCAGTCACCTATTCAAATCCACATTAAATTTCAATAGATCTTTGCAAATACACTGGGAACGCGCTTAAACTACACTGGAGAAAGTCATTATATAGGCATCACATATTCACATCAAAAGAAATCCGAATTTTTCTAATTTTTAACATACCATGAACTCATCAAGACATAATAAAACCGACTCATCTGATATCTCACCAGCAACAACATCAAGTGGATCCTCAACACCTTTATGCTTCTGCATCCATAATACCCAAGATAATCCCAGACTAGTAAGTACTCTTTCAGGAAGCATTCATTTTCACAAAGGTAAGACATATTTGGATTTCATTCATTTCACTTTAAAATGATGCAGATATGTGAATGATCTTACTTGTAGGCGACTGTGAACATTGAGCATGAAGTCATGAAAATGTATTCTCTGTTTCTTCCAGTATTCAGGACTGCAAATGAAAAGAAGAAAGGAAGTTTGAGAAAGAAACCTATAGAAAATGGGGAAACTGATGAATAAACAAATGAACTTGATTCCCTGGAGTTTGAGTAATGAACAAACACAAACTTCACATCCGAATGCAAATTAGGAAAACATGGCCTATTAATACATATCGGACAACGAATGCCCACATAAGGAGAGGAAAAGTAAAACTACAGTCCCAAAACATTCAAATTGAAGATATCTGATGCATCTACACACTATATAAATGTCAGAGAATTTTACCAGTAAAAAAAAGAATCATCCTCGCAATATCATAGTCCACAAGATGTCACCAATCACATTCCACTCAGTAAAATTAAAAAGCCAACCAAATCATCTGGACAACTACTACCCCTAATAGCAAAGAAAAAAACAGCACCAAACCTTTGGCAGTACTTTATGTTCTAATTGTAGCCATATTTATAAGAAATCGTGTCAAGGAAAATGATCATGACTAGGCATAAAACTAGCTTTCCAACACAAAGATCCAAAGGACAGCAAACATATGATACTTTCTGATTCTCCAAAATTAGTCACAATGCACATGTTTCCAATACCAAAACAAGTAAACTATACCGGTGAAGATAGTACTTGAGGAAGAAACAAAAGGGAGAAAACAAATATATTAGTAAACAAAAAAGCTTATATAAGGCAGTAACCTTACTTGTAGGAGTAAGGTTGCAGTAATCTACACTGTCCATTTTAGATGGATGGTGTAGATTAGGCACTATCTTAAGAGACATGCCAGATTTTGACACCATCTTAAACGATGAGTCAAATCTACACTGTCCAATTAAAATGGACGCTGCAACCTTACTTCCACAAGTAAGATTGTAGCCTTAGATAAACTGCACTGATTAGTAAATGCACAGAATTTAACTCAGGAAGGTTTGAGGTTGAATGACTCACTAACAAAGTCTTGAGCAACTTATTTGGTTGCTTTCGTAGATTACAAAAGTAAATCCAACGGCTTACCTGATCCACAGAAAGTATCCAAACAAGATAGAAACTCACATACATCACATATTGCCCACTACTCTAGAACTAAAGCGTGAAAGGAACCCCACACTTTCAATTTAAAATGCACCGATAACTTTCTAAGTCTTTCTCATCTGAAGTAGTCTCTTAAGACGCTTGCCTCTCAATATTACCAGCAACAACAGTCAGAAATTAAATTCCCCTATTTCATGTTATGCCACGTGTATATTAAGTGAGATGAGCTCAGTATAAAAAATGATGAATCTGTTGGTCATTCAGCTAAAACCACATCATGATATTGCACAGTCCTCTTCACCATGGTAATGGCTAAGCATAAAAAAGGAAACAATGGTAGTGCAGAATGTTATTGAAATGAATATAAGCTCTTCTAGGTATTCAGCCATCTTTGCCCAATATAAGAATCTATAACAGAAAATGATTAAATAAGGAAAGCATCAAAACATTTTGTAAGGTAACCATACTTTGAAATATATAAAAATGTTGTGCAGCAGACTCACACTTGATCGTAAAACAAGTCCATCAGCATTGTTTTGCCTGTACCCACTCCACCGTATAAATATAACCCTTTAACAGGGGAAACTGAAGATTGTGGCATGAAACGAGACCAAAACCACCCTCCCCTGCAACTTAAAGAACCCAACAAAATTGATATACAATCCTGAATATGTATAAAGCTCTGACATCAGTCTTCGCTACATATCACCCTACCACCAAAAATCCCCTCATTGGCTTTCATGTTTGGCTTTGTTTCCAAAACTTTCTATACAATAATGACCACATTTCAGTTTCCTTCATCAATTCTCTCCCTCAGAAAAATCCACTCATTCTGGCTTCATTTTTGGTTTTGCTAAAACAAAATTCTAAGACCAAATAGAAAAGAATGCCCCCTGTTGAAGATACGTTCTTTCAAAAAATAAATATGAAAAGGAGAAAGGCAAAAATCACCTTCCAGGTTTCTCAGAAGATGTAACTCGACTGAGCCCACATGTATCAGCGTGTTGTACAAGCTCGTCATAGAGTCTCTGAAGAACTTTGATAGTATTAATCTGACACCCAATTAGCAAAAGCAAATTAGATTTAAGTAAAGAAAGAAAAAAGATACATTAAACTCATGGTGGAAGATTGCATTTATAAGTGGAAATCAGTGTTTTCAGACACGCCTCAGGCCAGGTACAGGGCCCAAAAGCCTCTGAAAAATTAAAACAAATGATAATAAGAAATATTGAAAAATAAAATAAAATAGTAAAAAGTTCAAACGAAACCTAAAACAACCCAAAAAGTCCATACAAGCTTAAGAAAGTACCTAAAATATGCATTTTAAAAAATGATTTATAGTTGGGGACATTTAAAAAAATCCCAAGTAAGAGGGAAATACAAAAAAAGGGGATATAACAAGAAAAACTCCCTAATCTTTAGAAAAAAAAATCAAAATTTAAAATAAAAAATTTATACATCAATTTCATATATTTATATATCTTTAACAATGTTTTCCTATTTTTCTTATCTACCGTAAGTTGTACAGGGGCCTCGGAGTAACTCAGCTTGCCAAGGGGGCGAGTCCGAGTAACTCAGCTAAGTCTGAAAACATCGTTGCAAAGTCAAAAACATTTAACAGTGTATGAACCTGGAAGGCATCACCATCCACGAGATCCCCAGAAGCGATTCTTCTCTCATACTCCATAAGAGGCCCCATTCTCACATCTGGAATCATAAAAGATTTTATGAAGTTCACCCATCAGAATCAATATTATGCATTTATGTTTTTCTTTTGTTTGGGGTGAGAGAGAGAGAGAGAGAGAGAGAGAGAGAGAGAGAGAGAGAGATTGCAAATTGTACCCCCAGATGTATCTTTGGCAACAGATGAGAACAATGTCCTCGAATTCATCAAATACTTCATGCAAAATCCATTATCCATATCAAGATGGAGATTATTAGAGGGCAACATGAAACCAGAACCACTTATCCCTCTAACTAGTGTCCATCTATGATGACTTCTCCTAAGTGAATTCCCCAAAGCATCACCTTGTAGAGCCCTAGATGAATGCCTAGACTGGCTAATTACTCGTAAAATACCCCTCATCTCAGGCTTAGCTCTCCTCAAATACAAAACTTCAAAATCAATTCAAACAGTATGGTTTCTGCAAAAAATGCTGCATAATATACAAAATCATTGTGTTATGCATCAAATCAACACAAAGAAAAGGAAGAATCACATAATTCAATCGCAACAAGGTTCATTCTGAAAGAATAATTCATAGCTTGGCTCGACAGAGACACCAGTATATGAAAAAAAAAAAGAGAAAAAAAACTAAACTGTAGAACTCCATAATTGTCTCAAAATATTCTTAGAATTGAAAAGAGATTGATGCCTTCACAGTAACCCCGGTAATTGAAAAATAGCCCAAAAATAAAAGAAATCCACAAATGTAATAATTGAAAGACAAAGAAGTCAATTATTTAATAAACTTCAAAAATTCTTATCCAGCGGCATAATTAAGCAAGAAAATATGTTTCAGAACCATGAAGACTCTAATATTCGCAAAAAAAAAAACAGAGCACAAGATCCAAAATTTGCTGGTTTTATGTGTGTTGGGTCTCTCAATTATAAAGTTACAGGCTAAACAAGCAAATAAATAATCCAAAAACATAAATTATAAGCTTTCATCCAAAAAAAAATGAAAAACTCAATATTGATTGGAAAAAACTGCAGAATTTCGTACCAAGAATTAAATGAAGAAGGCCAAAAATCCAACAATCAATCAGCCTGGAAAGAAAATCTAACCTTCGAATCAATGGAACCGGATACCCAGAATTCAAAGTAAAAATGTGGGGAAAATTATCGCCAGGGTTCCTGGTCCTCTCTGTAAAACTAAATGGAGGAAATATTATTACATAAAAAAGAGCAAAAGGGTTTGACCCGTCTGTCTCACTCTCTTTCCGTATTAGAGAGCGATAAGAAGTACGAACACATACAATCCAAGAACCCAGGCGTCCCGTTAAGATCCATGTGTGAAAATCGGCGATTTTTTATTTTAACCAAATAATAAAAGAATTGGTGGGCCCAGGGTAAAACTGGAATAAAAACCAGCAGAGGACTTTGTGGTACCGGTGTACTAAAATGTTTATTTAATCGTACATCCAGAGGACTATGAGGCTGTGTAACCGATTATTCCAATTCCGGTATCGGACCATGCTGTTAGTAGCCTAGGAGCAAAGTTAAAGTTGAATGAGGCGATTTCTGTGTCGATAGAGAAAAAAAAACTAGCTGAATCGGGTAAACTCGGGTTCCTTAGACAGGAATCTCCACCCCGTTGGCTTGGGAGATTTTGTGTTGGCTAGATGACTTTTAATCCTCTCGTTTAAAATTTTAGCTGACCAAATCGACTAGAAAACTTAAAAAATGGCTTAAATCAACCTCCCAACTACATTGGTTCTTGCCTATCCATTTGGTGGAAGATTAAACCAAAGGTTTCAAAATATTTCCCTTCTCGAGAATTATTTGATACATATACAAATTTGAATTAGCCATGATCTATGTGGAACCAGTGTTTTAAAATCTGGACCCCACAAGTAATAATTCTCCAATGTGAGAATCAATCAATAAAATAAATAAATAAAATTCAATGTTAAGGAACCAGGCGAATTGGACAAATTGCTTATTTCTCTTATTGGATTGCTTGATTCCCTAATAAAATTTGATGTGGCCCGCCCGAAGCAGACTTGACTTCCAATTGAGAACCGGTCCATTTAAAACTGATTCCTAATGTGGATTAGCAATTTTGGATCCACATCCCTAATTCCCGATCCAACGGAAGGGTTTCTAAACTCTTCTATGGGTGAATTGGGTTTCTAAACTCTTAGTAAAGCAAAATTCTCATGCACACTTTGGCACCGCGGGACTATTATAGTGGTCGGTAAATTTGGACTTTCAAAGTGAGAAACTTGTGGGCTCACCTGAGCAACGCATAGGCGCGTCTATTTTCCGGAAAAAGTTGTATTATCATTATTATATTATTTTAAAGAAAAAAAAGGTGAAATGAAAGAATTTTTGGGCCGTTTGCAAGGGTGCCGTTGTATAGAGCGGATGCTCTAAACCATCAAAGTAGAGCATAACTTCAAATAGTATCGAAAATGTGGTTTCAATATTGAAATTTTTTTTGGTATTTTTAAAATATCTTTTCATATTTAATTATAAAATTTAAAGCTTAAAAACTAGTGTAGATTGAATAGATCTATGAAAACTTGGACCTTTTGAAAATTGACGGTCAAAAAATACATTATAAGAAGTAGTATTTCCAAAACTTGAAAGGTCGATGAGATCAATTTGAGGACATTTGGGCCCCAAAACAACCTCTTTTACTGAAGTTTTTGAAGTAGCCTCTAATTTGATTATTTAGAGCGCCTGTTTTATATAAACTTTTTTGGGTTTATAAAAGGTTTTCTTTTTTAAGAATATAAATGTACGGTTAGGATTAACTAGCCATGTGTAACATCTGACTTTTTAATAAGCACTATCGGGGTTGGCCTTTTTTTGGATATCTTTTTTTTATGGAAGTTATCAACCTTTATTAAGAATTACTGGAAATAAATTACATGAGACGAAAGTCTCAAATAAAAACATGCAAAAAAGAGAAAGAGAGAGAAATTACCAAATCCAGCCCATGAAGAAGCATCCATCTTAACTCCCATGACACCTTCTACTCCCTCTTGCACCATTTAATATATTCAAGGAACCCCCCTCCAAGAGACAAGGATAGGAGCCAAGATTTTTAGAAAAAAAAAGGTTTTAATCCGTAAAGGAAGGCATAAAATTATGCGAAATTAGATGTGGTCTCACCTAGCGGCCTTTCCATTTCAATTCCTAATTATTTCTCCAAACCATGCTAATCCTGGATTCTCAATCAAGCTACCATCAAAATTTAATTTTAAGGCACCTTATATTGGCTGCATCCAATGATTTTTGGGCCTACACTTTATGAAGCCTATTTTTAGGAAGATTGAGCTCCACTTCCACTTCTGTTATAACCATACCTTCTTTAGATCCCGACACCCAGAATCATATCGTATGAATGATTTTATAAAAAATCCTCTCAAAAAGTAGGACATTCCTTTTGAAGGTTTTTCTATTTCTCTCTTTCCACACTTCCCAAATAATCACCCCTCTAACATTCTCCCAGATTATTTTCCCAATTTGAGGCAAGTGCGACATAGACAGGTTCAGCACTAAGCCTTTGACTGATTCTGGTAAAGCCATCCTTATCGTCATTTTCAAGATAACCAATACCAAATCCTCCATACGAAAGAGCAATGAAAAAATAGAAGAGAGGCAGTTTCATTATCACCTTTGCACATTAGACATACATTTGGAAGTACTTTACCTCTCTTGATAAGATTATATATAGTCAGAACCTTATCTTGGCTGCCGGCCACACAAAGGCCTGAACCTTTTGCGGAATCGATCACAAGGCTTTACATCATAATTTGGAACTTGTGAATTTTTTTCTTTCTTTCTTTGATAAATGCAAAGATCTTATTTATGAAAAATTATTTTTGTCAAGTATTTTCATGTTTAAAATAAATTTCTAAATGGAACTCTGGGAAATTATGACTCGTTCATTTTAGGGAAAATTATAGATACCCTCCTTCTTTACTTTTTGGGCATGCGTCCACACTATTAACCTCAATATTGCAGTTTTTTTGGAAATCAGCCCCGAGTACAAAAGTTGACATTTTTTTTTTTTTTAAACTAAAATATCATCCTTTGGCTATGTTCCCTACTTTCTCTCTAAGTTGGACTGGCGCATTTTTTGTGTCGGACCGGCTCTATATTCAACTTATGCTGTTCTGGCATATTTTTGTGTCCAACACATTTTTGTTTGCAAACATGAATTAAAATCTGGCCCAAACAATTTAACTTTATTTACTTGGAAGGTGGTTAAAAGTGTAGTATCTAAAGTGTTGGGAGGAGGGAGGATGCCTAAATCTTAAAAATTGGGGGGATATCTATTATTTTCCCTTTGATTTACTAAAAAAGATCTGGCCCATTTAATCGAAAGTTTTAGTGCTCTGTTTCGAAATGGGAAATTTGTCAAAATAGATCTAAGATATTTACTATGTAATATTTTAACCATATGTTTTGATTTAGTTTTAAAATGCTCATCAAAATGCGCATGATTTTGAGTTAAAACAGTAGAAAAAAGGTAAAATGTTAAACAGTTGAAAAGCGAGATATATTTTTTGATAAATTTTTCTTTAGAAACAAATACATGGTTTAGTTTAAACGCAGATCCATTCGTGCACCACGCAAATGGTTAAGTCTATTGCGTGCAAGAGTCCATTCTGGTTTTCCATGAATTTAAAATATGAAATATGCCTTAGGTAAAACGGGAATAAATTTCTGATTTTAAATCCTCGTCTATTTGTAGCTTAAAAAATAATGCAGATTTTGGTAAAAAAATTAAATGATAGCTGACGAAAATTTTGATAACGACTTTTAAAGTCACTTTTATGCTTTTTATAATTCATGATAATGAAATTCGAGATAAGGTACCTATGAAATTGGGGTCTAAAGTCAAAAGAGAAAGGGGATGATATGGGGAAGAAAAACGGATACAAACCTTACCCCACACTAAAAACAAGCACAACTTTTTCATATTCGATGTGAACTATAAAACAAGTAACATTCTCAATATTTGTTAACATATAAACTTAGAGAGCATATTAGCCAATGACCTTTTAAATGATCTGCCCTACATTATTAGTGGTCTAATCAAGTAATAAATCAGTGTTACCAATGGTGTTATTATGACATAATCAAAAGTGGCTTTAAGACCCTAATTTGGGATTAACCCCCTCAACCTAGGGACCGACCTCAAAGAAAAGGAATCATAGATCATGCACTTAAAAAGTGTCCCATATCCTATGGTTATCCTATTGTCGTACCAAGATTGTTCAATTTTTTGAATAAAATTTTGGAAATATAGAAATAAGACCACTCATTTTTGGTACAAGGGGCTCACAATGGCCACTGAATGTCGAATTTATGGCTCAGAGCCCACCATCAACAGGGTCCAAAGTCCACAAGAAAGATTTTTGAGACATGTGACTTATCACAAGTTGTCAAATTTCATATTTAATAGTTAGAATTGATGATGGCCTCCTTATAAGCTATAGGTATGCATACCATTTTTTTACAGGCTACCCCAATAGCCCGCATAAAATCTCCACTGTCCGACATGGTTGGACGATGGAGATTCCAACGTATCCCTACAATCTCCAACCAAATTGGATGGTGGAGGTTTCATGCAAGCTAACAATCTAGCCAGCATGAAACAATTTATCATAGGTAAATGATTTCACATTATATAATCCCATAAATTTTAAGTGTTTGTTCATTGTTTTCAAAATACTCATCCCGCTATCCTAAATGAATCCAACAATTTAGGATAAAAAATTTTCCCCCGAGTAGGTATCTAGCCCAAGGGAGTAAGCATATGGTGTAGAACCGCGGCTGTACACTGTACACGCGCATCAACTTAAATCAAGCAAAGAAAGTACTTGTGTCCTAGAAAAGTAGCTAGGGTTTTTTGAAAGACATCCCATGTGCGTGACTATGATTACAACTCTAAGTTGAGTCTTATATTTATTAAAAACTTTGCACTTGTCTCAATGAACTCTATTAGCCTTTAAATATGAACATGCATTTCTTGTATCTTTTTCCCACTTTTGAGTTTTTAGTGGTCTCCCCCAATGTAACTTGGAGCCTCGATTTCCATGTATTATGCTTCCACAGATTATTTTAACCTAAATAATGGTTGTTTTCTTTTCCTTCCATCATATGGATTGTGATCAGGTACTAAATATTCAATAATTCACAGCCTTGATCATTCCTACCTACCTTTCAGAGATGGCACTAACTTTTGTTTAACATGACTGGCACAAATTTATTAAGTATTTATTGGTCAGGGTT